TATAAATTATCAAGATTCTGCTTAACATTTGTCAGAAGAAGAGTGGGGATTATTATTAGTCTTGCCTGAAGGAAACCATCAAGAGAATTACCTCTAACATGTTCTTTGACGTGTTGATAAGCATGACCTTCAACTCTTTCTCCAAATTAATATGAAAAGGGAGATCATTTCTTAGTCTACACTTGGAATAAAAAGCCTAGAATTGCATCTACCTCAGTAAAATTTGTATGAGTAAAATAACTACCTTTAATTCTTTTAATTTCTCCCCGCTTCCATAAAGAACTGCTGTCACCTCCTCTACCTCCCAAATAATTTTTTTTCATTTCTGTAAGTTCAACAACAATCCCTTTCACCGCCCCCAATATTGATGACTTCCACCAAATCACTCCTGAGCCATGTTTTCTGGACATTTCTTTGATGCCCGAAAGGGTCTTCAAACTTAACACTATCAATAAAGTGGAAATTTTGCCCAGGACTTTATCAGCACGTAGTCAGCAACTGTCCCGTAATTTAAAACTGCCCCTGTGTTTTCTAGTAACGGCCTCTTTCTGCTTCTGTACCTCACAGCTTATTGCTTACTAACTGAAAAGCCTTAAGGAAAACTGCCGTGTTGTCTAAAGTTCTGAGTTACTTCCCCTGCCCCTTTACCTATAAAAACTGTGTACTTTTCTTAGCCGGGGTCCAGACTTTTGGGTGTGAACCTTTCTGGGCCTGCCGGCGTAATAAACTGTGTTCCTTCAATGCCCTGAGTGCAGCTTGGGTTTCTTGTCAGGAAAGATTTTCCAGAACATCAACACATTTCAAAATGAATTAATTTTCCATTTCTCAGACCTGTTTCTCCTCTTCCAGATGCAGTCAATTTCAGCCCTCCTTTCTGCCCATTGTCCACCACTCACCCCATGTTTTATTTCATCCATAATCTTTTTCACTCCTCTATGTCCTTCTCAAAACCCAGGGTTGCTCATTCTGCCCTTTGCCTAATAATAATAACAATCATAATACTTTCCAGTAAGTGTTGAGCACTTACTATGTGTCATACATGGTGCTAGGCAATTTATATGTGTGATCTCATTTAATTCTTACAACTTCTTATGACATAGGTACTATTACCATCCCCAGTTAAAGACATGGAAACCGTATTCAAGGTGACAGACCTAGTGTGTGACAAGCTGAGAGTTTAATTCTAGTTTGAGAGCAGTGCTATGACCTGCCTCTTCCACCTTGGTAAATCCAACATCTCAAGGCTTAGTTATGTGTTTATTCCTAAATGAATCATTTGACAAATATATTTTGAGTGCACACTCTACCAGACATAGAGCCTGACACAGGTTATCAGCAGTGAATGAAGTAACCTTGGACCTGGATTCCTAGAGACCAGTTAGAAAGAGAAACTTTAAGCAAATAACCACACATGCCATTAAAATCACAGATGACAACTGCTACGGAGAAAGACTTTGGCTGTGGGTGATGTGTCTGTCTCCAGGCGTCCCATGAGGACTTTGGTCACAAGTTCAACATTTTTTTATTTCTCCATCATTCCATTAACTTGTTCTCTGTATTTATATGCAGTTCCTACTGCACTGAAAAATTAGATGAACTATTCAGGTTAGAAATTAGATTTCTAGTTAGAAATTTTAGTCAACCTTAACCGTAAGCCTTTTTGGCATCATGACAAGAGTTTTAGGGCAAAGAAGACAGAAATACTATGAATGAAAAAGTGAGGCTGGATTTGATAAAAGGCAAGGTCGTCTCAATGTAAATCTTATAATTCATGAATGCATTTGTTCTATTTGATATAGTATGAGTTTGACAATGTTCAGAACATAATGAAAAGCTCTATACACTCAAATATTTGCCAGAAGGGAATTGTTTAGTGTTGGGCCTGAAAGGATAAATGGACAGGTAAGGGTTCTAGTTACTGCTTATTGTTATATTCTTTTTACCCTTTACCCACCCGCTGAATACAAACAAGTGGTCTTTACAAAAGTTAAAACCCCCAAATATGACATTTTAGTTCTCAAATTTCATGTGAAAAGCACTTACTCAGCTATAAAACAGCTATAATATTTTTAAACAGCTGAATTGACAGCAAAAGCCATAATAAATGCTCAAAGAATAGCATCTTGGATCAAGATATTGTGAATCAATGACTCAGAATAAAATCAAAATAAACATTACAAGGGTTTTATCAATAGATACCAACCCACTTAAGCCTGTAAACATTATTGTAAATAGATGTTAAATTGCACAGAAACGTCAGACATTAACAGCAACAAGTGTGAGTAACTGAATTTACTCCTCTTAAAGTTATAATAAACCACACCAATTTGGAACTGCCTTCTTTTACTGGGGGAAACCGAATTTTTAAAAATATTGCAAAATAAAAAATATTTGCCTGTTCACACCAAAGAACGAAGATCTTAAATCTCAGTACAGGGTGCCATACTGTGGCCATGAATCTCACAATTGGTTGGCTTGATGTCAGTGCTCTCCTCACCTATCATACCCAGACAGGTATGGGTATGTAAATCAGATAGTTAACGTTAATGTAGACCATGAGTTTAAGATGAAAAATGTTATACAAGCTTTACACTAAGAGAGGTAAAAATCAGTGCCTTCAGGAATTATTTGAATCATCCCTAGAACTTTGTACCACTTAGATCAAGGAGATTATTGACCTCTTCTGTTAACGATCTTCTCTTCTACACTAGTAAAGAGGAGTAACAAAAATAATCACCCTCAAATTCTGTGGCAGTTTTTGCTCTTTAGAAATTTGCTTAACTTTCACTTTATAGTGTAATAAGATTTCCACCCAGCACCCACTGCTGAAGATCTTAACTGCTTCACAATCAACATTTATTGTGTGTTGAATTCCTCCTCACCCCAAAGCAAATGTTCTTTTCCTCTACTCATCAAAAGGAAACAATTGGGTTTAAGGTCTTGATCCATTTGCCCCTGCTTCTCTTCATACCTGCAACAAACTGATAGACATTGGAGGAAGGCCGACCACTGGGAAATGTTACAGAATACCATGGGTTCACTCAATACTATACAAATACAGAATCTTCTATTTGTCAGTTTTTACATATTTCACTCTCAATACGTATGTATTGTGAAACATTATGCTCATCACATGATTTTGGTGATTTTTAGATGAAATGAGACGTAAACATTTTACTGTTGCCATAATTGTGCCTTAAATTATAACTCCTTTACCCATTTCATAAAAACAACACATTTTACAACTACTCAATTATTCCCACTCAAATTCAATTTTGTATACATGTTTTAATAACTGCAATTTTAAAAATTAGTATAGTCTGAGTTTCTTCATATCTAATTCTGAACATATATTAGAAAAAAATTGAATATGCTAATCTATGGAATAACAAGTCCTTCTAAAACTAGTAATTTTGTGATCATATACAATAACATATAATTGCAATAAAAATAAAATAATCTAAGGATATATAATGAAATGAAAGTATTCTATTAATAGTCAACATTCAATATGACTGTAGGGCGTACTTTAGTTATACAATGCTTTTTATAGAAGGGAAAAAAGGGATTTTTTTTTTTCTAACTTTATAGAGACTGACCTATATAAAAACAGTACATAAAAGAAATTAGCTATGACAGCCAAGCAGTTTCAAAGAACAACGATTTGTGAAGACGTTTTGACTAACCTACAAATACTGATCACTGCAATAGCAGAGGAAACTACTTACTAAACCATGGTCCCCTCAAAGCTACAAGATGAATAATGTAACTGCTGCTCTCAAGTAAGGGAACATGAGCGGAAACCTATCTTAAGTGGAGATGACTTCAAACAGCCTTTGAAACCACTTCATCCTGCCATTTTGCTATAATGACAAGGATGAAAACTATTGCTACAGCCTCACTGGTTTTCTGCTTCATTTACTGCAAAGATTCTCTGCTGTGGATTAGTCACCTGGTGAGGCTCAAAAATTTGGAAGACAATTTTTCTGGGGTGGGCCTGGAGTACTGGTGTGTCATGAAAGTTCTCCGGGTGATTCTAATGTACAATCAGGGCTGTGAATCAATGCCCTGCTGCCGCATTTGTTGCCTTGGTTTCCCAGGCTTCTGTCTGGTCCTCCTGTGAGAGTGTCTATGAATGCTGCCAGATGACATTTCTCTAATGCTTACACAATTAAATCCAAACTTCTGCGCAAACTGCACAAGACTCAACACGATCTGCTCTTAACTGCCCGACCAGCTGCCTCTCCCCTACTTCCCACCAGCTCTAGAAGCACTTGTTTGCAGCAAGCCTGGCCTTAGCCTTAGGGACCGTGCACTTACTCATTCCATTCTCTGAAATGCTCACATGCTTATCTGTCTGGCGAACTGCACCTCCTCTGTGAAGCCATTCCTGACATCCTAGCGCCAAACCCTCCAGGTGTCCTCAAAGCACCCTATATGCACACAGTTTTGTGTTTTTTTCCAATCATATTGAATTGTCATTTTAGAACATATATCTCTCCCATCTTCATTAGACTTTTTGGAAGCAGAGCCTGTATCATATTTGCTCTATAACCCCCACACTTAGCACAGTGCCTAGCATATACAGCATTCTACATTTGCTGAATAGATACCATTTATACTATTTTTACCTATTATAGACAGAGCAAGAGGAGACTTACACTGGGACCACTGAAAAAATCAGGTTCATAATAAAGAAAAAGCCTTAGTTTTTATTTAGTACTTGGTGGTAGTAATTATTTATTACTCTAAAGATCAGCCTTCCAATAAGGTTACCAGGTTAATTTTCAACTTGGTTAAAGTCAAAGAAAAAGCTTCAATTAATTCCTTAAGAATGCTCTCAGCCTCCCCAAACCATATGCTTTCAGAATGATGGCCAATATATGCTCACCTTCAGCTCCATAAAGGAAAGAAGCCCCCTTAATGCCTACCACAAGTTGATCTAATCTGGCTGCTTCTGCCATGTAACATCAAACCCACACTCTGGTGAAAATGCTTACTTTGTATTTGCTTTCTGATCTGGAAGGGGTGGGAATATGTCCTTTTTTCTTGAAGGTTGTAAAGTGCTTGCACTGAGGACATGGCTTGGTGCTGGAATCAATACGGCCAAGTTCCAAGAAGTACTTATACTTGATGGAGTCTTCATGCGTTAAGTTATAGACAACAGTTGTTTCTTCCAAGAATTCAAAACACTCTGTTATTGGGCATTTGATTTCTACTTGGCCAAGTTGTACCTGTATGATGGAAGAGCAGATGGAAGGGAAAAAAAAGTCACTGGTTATTTTCTTTCATTTATTTTTTTTTGGTATACAGTATTACTTATTTCATGATTGCAATAAAGGATTGTGTGTAATTTTTAAGCTAACATAACGAAAGTTAATCATCTTGATACCTTATTTAGGCAATACCAAAATAATTAGTATATAATGTTTCCAAAATGATTTCTAGGGCATTTAGGTCTTCTCTGATCATTGTGTGTGTGTGTGTGTGTGTGTGTGTGTGTGTGTGTGTGGTGAAAAGAAATGGACCTAAGCCGCAGGTTCACCAAAGAAGCAAATTATCATCTCATGTTTCTGGAAACCGCAGGGTTAGACAGCATTCAGATGATGAACCAACTGCAGGAGCTGCAGGGTGAGGCAGCATTTAGACAGTATGCAAACTAAAAGGTGTTTCAAGCTTTTCAACTTCACTGTAGAATACTTAACTCTGGGCACATTTTACTATTTTAAAAAGACAGAAGAGATTTTGTAATGCATAATGCCTAATAGTTTAAAAATTGTTACCAAAAATAACTGTTTTCCTGACGCTTCTGTGTTAAGAACATAAAGCAAGTAGTTCCTATATAATAAGAATCACAGGAACAAGTAAGAAAATTAAAACAGCTACAACAGTAAAAAATCCTTATGAAATCTGGCTGCTACTGAGGTAATTTACAAAATTGATGTACTCAAAGGACTATGGAGCTAGATTAGGAGAGAAGAGAGGATACATCAGAATGTGACATTTAGCATGTGGTATGGAATACTAGATATGGTTAGCATTAAAGATTACAATAAAAGATTAAAGCACCAAGTGTGGACACAACTAATTTTTAAATAATTAAAATAAACTACTTTGAAATAATGAGTAGCTAGAGTGTTTTTCATAAGCAGTGAAAAATAACTCTTTATATTCATGGCACTACAATCTCTTTTGTCCATCCTAATGTAGTAAAGAGAGGCACCAAAACCTCCAAATCACAACACCAAACTCTTTATTTGGATGAATCTGACATTCTCAGAAAGCAAAACATATCCACTTGCAATAGAAAAGCACACTATGAAGACTCAGATAGGAATGAGAGAAAGCCACGCAGTTTGGGGAAAGAAGAACATCATCACAAAGAGCAATTTAAAAAACCCTAAATTCATAGGAACTTTTAACATTGCTGTTTATCTGGCACAAACTTGAAGAAAGGTAATTAAGAAATTACAAGCTGAAGGCTGAATGGGGTGACATGTTGAATACCAGTAAAGCACATGAGCTAAACTGAAAAAAAAATGAAACAGGCTGGCTTTGGATAAATCTCCTTATTAGTATTGACCTGTTAAAAGTCTAAATTGTTGCATAATTTTATACTGCTATTGTACAAAACATGGCCCAGAGAGGATTTAAAATATGTGCCCAAACATTTTTTTTTTCATATGTTTGTTGGCCTCACGTATGTCTTCTTTTGAGAAGTGTCTGTTCATATCCTTTGCCCACTTTTGAATGGGCTTGTTAGTTTTTTTCTTGTAAATCTGCTTTAGTTCTTTGTAAATTTTGGATAACAGCCCTTTGTCAGATGGGTAAATATTTTTTTCTACTTTTTCTGATGAGTCTGCTCACAGTCCCAATCAGATTTTATTATTATTCATGTTACAGAGTTACGATGCTATTATAACTCAAATTACATTTTAAAATAAATTATTTTGTTCTACCTCAAGACAGAAGTCCTCAGGAGATTTTTGTGTAGATAAAAATCCCTGTTTAGCATACTAAGAACTTACCTTAATGAAGTATATAACTTAAATGTTAAAAGATGATTAACTGTTTCCTTTTCTAATATTCTGTAGACATTTACTGACCACAATTCTGAGGCAGGAACGGGCTAGGCACTAAAGCTTTGCAGGTGCAGGTCCTGATTGCCCTTTACTGAAAGAGGCAATCAGGAGGCAAAATGGTGAGTACAAGGTGTCAGGAGAAGTATAGTAATCTCAGACCTGCGGGGATCAGAAGAGGCTTCTTGGAAGAAATGAGGTTTCAAGTAAGAGCTTAAGACTAGTAGGATTTAGCCAAACAAGGGTGAGAAGGGGCTCCAAGCAGACAAAAGAGACAACATGGGCAAAGGCCTGAAGGAAAGAGAACACAGTACTAGCAAACCCAATTGGATCAACTTGTATAGCACCCAAATGCACATGCATCTGAACTTAAGGATCACAGCCTTGGGATGGGGCTTAAAGATGAGCAGACTGGACCACACAAAGTGTGAGTAAGGGAAGATGAGGCTGTAAGGAAAGACGAACCAGCTTGGACCAGAGCATAAGAGCAGAGCATGAAGCCATCTTAGGAGTGTGGAAGTTTTTCTTATAAAAATAGAAACTATGCAGTTTTCAGAACGTGAAAGATAGTTTCTTTCAAGTCCACAGAAAAGGGGCTCACTTGGGCCACCTCAAGAGGCCCTTGTTATTGGGAAGCAGTACATTTTCGTGATTAAGAACCTGAATGTTTTACTCTTTAGGTCAGTGTTTGAATCCAGCCTTCCTCACTTATGAGTTTATTTTATTTCAACAATAACTATATAAATGACAAAAATGGAAGCTGCAGTAATTTCACAGCCGCCCAGGAATGGTTAGGTCTTACAGAAACTGAATGTAGTTTAGGGACTACAATAATCCAAGGCAGCTAAAGGGGGCAGGTTGTCTTGATACTCCTTCAGCAGTGGGTACTCCTTACTCAACCACATTGGGATACCATCCAACATCCAATCATTCACACAGACACTTTCTACTTCAGTATTTCTCAAATCTGCAAACCTATCAATTTCCATAGAATATATTACTTCCTCTTGCTTTCATACTCGGCATTGACTATTCCTTACCTTCCCTTCTTTCTAAAGGCTCCAAAATCCCTATCCTACTACATTGAATCAAAGACTTCATATTTTATTGAACACATAGAGGTAATCAGATGCATAGGCCCATACCGTCCCACGACCAGCTCTAGCAATTTACATCTTTGTCTTCTGTCTTCCCTCTGTAGAGGGCTGAATCTATTTCCAGAACAACTGTATATGAGTCTCTTCAAGTGTCTGTTGAGCATTCCAGTTTCATGGCCTACTCAAAACCTACAGAATTGGAATCATTGTTGACAAGCCAGTAACTGGCAGTTTGGAACAACCACTCACACAATCCTTCGATTACTCATACTTCCTCATGCTACCAATATCATCTTTTTCACAATACAGTGTTACTCACCTATGCAATCCCTTAGCCTCTACATGCATCTTTTTCAGAAAAATTTCCTCAAAAGATGACTAGCAAACAACTAATTATGATTAAGTGAAGTATACTTTTTCATGCGTTCAACAAGATATGTATTTTATCAAGAATGCATCTTAAAAGCACATTTTAATTTTTCAAAAGTCAAGTTTTTTATACTCATAAGAAAGTATTGTATGATAGTTTAATTTGCAGTGTTTTTACCTTCTTGGCAGCACATAACCTAATACTGCATCCTACAATTGATCACATCTTAGGTTTCAGTTAAATGTGGTTTTTATGGGTTAGGTAATGTGACAAACTTCTAGAGAGACAAGAGAAGAAAGAGATACAGGGTGTCTACTGAAGGAAATGGATAAAAAGCAAGCAAATAAACAAGGCAGATAGTAACCAGTGTTATGAATGAACTATACATCACAGAGGCAACCTCTGAGGAAATGACAACGTGAGTTGAGAACTGAAAGGCCAGTCATGCAGAGAACATGAGGGAGAGACAGAAAACAAAGGAAAACAGGACACTGGCCCCACACAGGTGTCTGATGTGTCTCTGCTCAGAGCACAGAACCCAGTGGCCAAAATATGTACTAAATGGGGGAGAGAACAGTATGAGATGAAGTTGGAGAGTTAGCAGAAGACAGTTGGAGAGTTAGGCAGAAGAGAGATCACACAGGTCTCATTGGCCGTGGTAAAGTCTGTATTATATAAAGACAATACGAATCACTGGTTTTAAGAGGAGGACTGACATGCGCTTCTTGGAGAAGAGACTGTGGAAGAATACAAGTGAAGGCTGGGAGAATCCTGGAAGTCTGGATTCAATGGCTCTTCCCACAAGTGTTGTCCAGCTGTTACAGGCAGTAGATGATAGATGACTGAGAGGTAACAGGATATGGGGTGTACTTTGGAAGTAGAATCAATGAGATTTTTTTTTAATTGACAAAAATTGTATATATTTATGGTATATAACATGATGTTTTTATACATATACATATGTGTACAGATCAATATATATTAACCAAGCTAATTAACAAATGCATTACCTCACATATTTTTACAGTGAGAACACTTAAAATTATTCTTTTAGCAATTTTAAAGCTTATAATACACTGTTAATGACAGTCACCATGTGTCATGTAAATGTGTCATTAACATGGTGACTGTCATTAACAATGTATTATAAGCTTGAAATAATGACAGATCTTTTGAAGTTATTCCTCCTAACTGAAATTTTATATCCTTTCACCAACATCTCCCCAATCCCTCTCTGCTTCCCCCACACAGCCCTGCGAACCACCATTCTCCTCCCTGTTTCCGTGAGTTTGACTTTTTAAGATTCCATATATATGTGAGATTATGGGGTATTTGTCTTTCTGTGCCTGGACTATTAAACTCAACACAATGTCTTGGAGGTTCATCTATGTTGTTGCAAATGACAGGATCTCCTTTATAAAGACTAAATAGTATTTCCTTGTGTATGTATGTCACATTTTCTTTACCCATTGATCCACGATAGACAATTACATGTCTTTTTCCATATCTCAGCTATTGGGAAAAATGCTACAATGAATATGGGAGTACAGATATCTCTTCAACATTCTGATTTTATTTCTTTTGGATATATATGCTGCAGTTGGATTGCTAGATTATATGGTAGGTTTATTTTTAATTTTTAAAATATATTTTATATTGCTTTCCATAATGTCTACAACAGTTTATAT